GATATGCGTGACAGCAACGTTGATGAGTTGACTGTTCGCTTCATGCAAGTACCTACACACATGCACACACACTTACACTCGTTTCTACGCTTTGGAGCAGGAGCCACTTTATTTATAACGGCCATCCACCATGCAGTGAGGGTAATAAATTTCATTAACAGGCAAAAAATTTTGCTTCTGTACAACGCAAAATCGTAAAATGGCCTTTTTACATAGACGTTTATAAATACATATATATGTATCTCTCGTAGTGTATCCAGCAATATATATGTACCCCTCGTAGTGTATTAACCCAGCAAGCCAAAAAAATATTAAACAAATTGATCTTCGACAGGGTAGAATAAGAGCTGGTACATTTGAATTATCATACCGTAGTGGAGAGAAAAAACAATGCCGGCAACGCTTTAATCGACTGCAATGACACACATACTACGCTTTATAAGCGAGCTATCGAGAGTTGAAAAAGAAAATGAAGATCTATTGCGGAGAGAGTGAGAGAGACAGAGAGAGGGAGCGTAGTGAATCGGTATGAACAATTCGAAATTTTTATAAGAAAATTCTTCGACTTACAAAAGTTTCAAATACGGAGCATATTCATGAAGAAACCAAAGGAGTCTAGGAACACATCCCCAGCCTACCACATTACAGATTGCTGTGCAATCAAAGCCTCTTCTATATCGTCATTATCGCAAACGTGTATAAAGCTTTCACGTCACTGTTTATTGTTATAACTTTGCAGTCCAATACAAGACCCATCATTATCATTTAAGGCCCTCTCACATCTGTCGTTGAAGCGATTTTCGACCGAGTTTCTTCTACAATTTCTGAGTTTTGCTTTTCCAAGAAATGCGGATAGTTTATGCTAATCCGTCTACTAACGGCCGAGAGATTTTCATATTAGAAATACACTCGGAGGGCTTAGAGCTCCCTGCCGAGGGGGGTATATTGGTCGATCCAGAACTTGAACCCTAACCTTCCATCTCTTATAAAACTTTCACCAAAATGGCTAAATTTAAAATGTTAAGCTGGCCTTTCGCGCTCAGTTCATCGGACAATGACCTCTATTAAATGGTTAGGAGCTCCCTTGATCTTCTTCTATGTACCAAAAAAAAATTTGATTTTAAGTCCATCTCCCTCGGTGAAAAACCAACCTGGAAGTATTCCAGTATTCACGAAGTTCTTTCGAAAGATAACTTAAAGACCACATGCAAAGAGATCGAGCTGTCTCGTCTGTAGCATTGTCATCTCCATTCATCAGGTGACGTCCCGTAATTTGCTGGGTTATATACATGCTGAACTTTGTTTCGTCTTTGGCGGTCTCGATATAGTCTGACAACAACAACAACAACAAAAAGCGCAACCCGCCCTTCATCACAGTAGCATCGAAGGCTTAAGACCAGTGAGCTGTACGCTTTCACCTCATTACGTATATGCTGAGTATGTACATATGTATATATGTAAGATGCGTAAACGATATGATCTCAGCTTGATGAGCAAAGATGAATTACTACAATGAATTTAATAAACAATGCAATTTTTAGGTTTCCCACTGCACTAGCGCCGTAAGTGGCTCCTTTTCCCTGCATTCTATAGCAATATGAAAAAAAATAAAAATAAAACATGATACAACACATACCCGCGCTTCACACTCATCAACCGTTGGAAGCTAAATTTAATTTGTTAACAGGTTTATCAAAAATTCATAAATACACGTATGTACATATGTATGTAGTAAACAGACGCGCAGGGCACACCGCCCAAAAATTTATGTATGATGTGCTCGCTGCACACTGCACGCTTCACATAGTATGGCAGAGATCTTACATTAACTCGCTTTGTGGCGATGAAAAATTGCCTCATCGCATGGAGTTCAAATTAAAATTATCCGCTTAAAGCCTACAAACACTCACACTATGGACTTCAGGGTGGAGGTGTAAGCATTTGTTCTTTGTTCTCTCTTCTTCAGCTCCTTTACTGAGGAGTTATTTGATTTGTTGTTTTGTTTCTTGATTGATTTAATTAATTTGTAAATTAAAATGTGTAAAGCATGTCTAAAGATTGGCTCAAAAGGAACACCCACTGTGAAGAGGAATGTTATTAATTATCCAAAAGCACGCATGGTGAGTTCCAGACTGGAAATTTGCTTAGTAAAGAAGCTAGAGAAAATAGAATAATTAAGTGCTACTTTTATTTTCATTATTCTTCTTTAGCGTATTACGAAAAGATTCGTAAAATGCTGTTATAAATGGCGAAACATTTTTAGGAAAATACGTCGAAGTTTTGAGATTACTCCGAATGGTTGGTTCTTGAGGAAAGCCATTTTATCGGTAATTTTTTAGAAGTCGCTTTAGTCAGACTCTAGCATTTAGCAAGTGTAGCTTGTGGAGATATATGATTTTAACAATATTTTTTTTTTTCATAAAAAAATTATAAATCAGTTTATTAGAGACAGTTTTTGTACTTTTTTTATAAAGATAAATCCTGAGGAAAGTCGCAGTTGCATAAAAAAAGAAAAATGTACGCCCTCCATATACATATGTATATACATACATTCATATTTATATTCGTTCATAGATACCCGCTCTGCATCAATACCTCAGCGTTTGGCGCTCTCTTTAGTCATAAGCTCAAGTTTAACTCCGCCCATTTCGAAGGGGAAGTTAGACAGCTGGTAGCTCAACACACTCAAACATATTTAATTTAACTCAAAATATAAAATTTCTTTGCTTAGTCTTATGGAATACTCAAGAGAGCAAAATTGGAAACTAGAAAACTTTGCAAATTTATAATTTCCAGCACATCTTCTAGAAAAGCTGAAAGTCTGACTTGCGCCAATAACAATAACGATTTGAGTCAATTTGTAATAAGGGGGTAGAAGATTTCGGAACTATTTCAATATCTTTAGCTTAAAGATATGTATATATTAGGTGTAGTAAAAAGTAATCCATTATTTTTCCAATAAATGGCGTTATTTATCTGTTTCTCGCGTTGTATAAGACCGATCGGGTTCCGCTAGATGGCGTTAGAAAAATGACATTTCGTACTGAAAAAACTCTTCTGACAGTTTTGTGAATGGTTGATGCCATTTAGTTTGAGCGTGCGTCAAACTTGGGCACTGGCGAAGAGAAAATATGCTATATTTTACAGTTTTTCTTCGATAAGGTCGAAGGTACCGCAAAGGCGGCTGAAAATGGAAGTAGAGTTTACTGATATGTCCCAGTAATTTTGATCACGGAGTGGAAAATGTCGATAAAATCATGCATATTGTCGAGACCAACCGTCATGTAAGGACTGTTTCGAGTGTCCAAGAGCTAAAGATTGCATAAAAGCCGTTTGGTATCATTTGAAAAAGGGTGCATACAAAAAGAAAAATAATGCAGTCAATTTCAATAATGGATTTCGTTTTATTACACCTAATATTTTGATATTTTTTAACAAATGGAAGGACCTACAGTTTATTTAAAGCCGCCTCCGAACAGCTCATGGTTTTTTATGAGAACCTTTTGATTTTCATGTCAGAAATACTCTTGGAGGGGTTGACATTCCCTGCTGAGAGGTGTCTGAAATCGCAAACGTCGCTGGGAGAAGCGGTGGAAATGGTAGTACAACCGCGCAATTCACGTACGTGGATCGTGAAAGGAATCAGAGCCAAAACGAAGAGCAGCTGAATGCGCTTTTCGCGAGAATAGATGGGAATGGGATGAAGATCATAAAATGTAAGAGCTCTCCCTGAATGCTCTTGGTAACGAAAGCTCTAAAGACACCGTATTGAACAAGGAATGTAGAATAATGCCATATGAGAGATAGTGGATAGTAATTGCATTCCCATATATCGTAGTCCTGACTACAGGTCACGATATCCACGAAACACACCTGGGTTGGGTACCTGGTACTTTCATTTTAAAAAAGTTATCCCGTTATTAAAAAAAAAGAAACAATCTGATATCTCCCGACCTTCTGACACCACTGCTGACTATTAGAATCTTGATGTTTGACAGTAGAGCAGAGGATACTTAGACAACTGAAAAGAACGGCTAAGCAAGACGATATACCAACCGGCCCTAAACGTCATTCCCAGACACTCAATCAACTCCATTATGAACTCTCTTCCTGTGAATGGCTTGCTCCGACCACCGCTCATAATACCGTAAAGCTCGAGCTGCTCGGTACGCCCGTTAAATAACCTCGACGTCGTAGACTAACCTTGCCTGCTCCTAACCGGGGTCGGCTGCTACAATAGCAATAATAACAACAACAAGAGAAGAAGGGCAACACTGGCGTCCTATGGTAACTTCGAAGAAACGAAGACACACCATTTTTGAAGGTTTTCCATATTAAGATCTCAATTCCGTTGTAGAATTTAGGCTTCACGTAGCCTTTAGCAGAGTTGCTTGTCACTAAATTGCAAATAGTAGAAATTACTTTAACAACTTTACTCCGGTTAATACTTTGTAGTTACTGCAGATTCAGTATACGTACAAAACTACAACAACAATTTCAACTATTGCCAAAACTAGTATTTTCATTTCTCAGCAACAGAAAACAATTAGAAGAAGCAAAAGCTCTTAACTTTTTTTTAATGAAATATTTAATTGAAGAATCTCTATGGAAGGAAAATTAAAAAATGCCCAAATATCACAAACTTTGGGACTTAAAAAAGAAAATAGATACAAACATCAAAATAAATTGGTTTTTTTATGTGAAATTTCCACGTGATGAAAAAATATGTAGTGAGATGAAGCACAATTTAACGGTAAACGTAAAAGCCACATTAAGGCGGTAGCTGTAAAAACTAAGTTCAATTAGAAATGCAATTTATTAAACTTTTAACGGTAATTAAACTCCAAATGAAAGGTTACAACTACATAAAGCCTATAGATGAGATTGAAAGTAGGATGAGTGGATCATTAGCTGCATATGAAAGATAGAGGTATCTAAACATTTTTCATTTCGTTAAGCGTAACCACATACACGTATGTATGTATACATATATGTATTACATTATTTAATTTTTATTTTTACATAAACAAACTTAAAACTAATTAAATTTTTTTCGCAATAAAATTATTTCCAAAGCTACGAATAGTCGGCTATATCATTCGGCAAAGTGCCGTCCATGTCAAAGCAACGACACGAGCAGGAACTAACTGGACACTCAGAGTTTTGTCTGCGAAATATATAAATATTACATTAAAAATTCAATATTGAACAAATATTTATTTTCAACTCACTTGAACCACTGCATCATATGCTCCGTGTGGCCGCCATGTCGACATGTTTGACACCAAGAAAACCACTTTGAAAATGGTTTCGATTGCCAGCCAAGGCTTTCATGCGTCGCATCGCTGGGTAGTGAAATATTGAGTGTGGTGCCCATGTGTAGTAAGCATAGCGAGCAACGTGGTAGTGGTTTGCGGCAGCTGGGGCACGAGGAAAGCTGCGGAAATGCAAAAAAAATAAAAGTAATGAATTTAAACGTGTTTTTTTTCTAAATAAAACTCATGTACTTTATTGATATTAGTTGTTGCACTGCGCATGCGCACATCCTCCTGCAATGCATTGGATACAGATTTGCCACAAAAGTTGCAAGAGAGAAAAACACTGCGTGTAGTGCGTGTGCCTGTGCGTAAGTTTTCAATTTTAATGTCCAATTCAGCGCGTTTCTCCCATAAGCCCCATGAGTTTAAGTCGTCTAAATAACTAGATCGAATAAAAAATTTATAAGAAGTTGAATTTGCTTTTGAGATACAGTCAAATAACCTGCTTATCCAATATTGTATACGATTATCGGTGAAATGCTCACGATGGAAATAGTTGATGGCAATCAGCGCAACAGTTTGCACATCAGAAGTTAAGTCCAAGTAGGCTTGCAGTATATTTATGCCATCCAATGATTCGCCCGTGAGTAACAGACCATTTAAGTCGCCATTTTCTATAGATTTCTGTATCAACTGCTTGACATAATCCGACAATTTGCTCTCCGAGAGATATTTACAAGCAAAAGCAACGCGATCGGCCAGCGAAATGCCCTCCTCAGTCTAAAACCACAAAAAAAATGAATTATAAAAGCGAATATTTTCCTTTTGTACGTATTAACGCACCAACACAGCATCGAAATTATCATTCTCTGTGGTGAGAAATGAGAAAATCGCACGCAAATGCGCATCTTGTATTTGCTTATTGGCATTCGAGCGTTGATTTCGCCAAGTTGAGTTACAACGATCAGCATTAAAGCTGGATAAGGCGATGGCAGCTATGCGAAACATGCTAGCATCGTGTGGATCTTTGGAATTACGCGAGAGATCAGCAGCTTTCGAAAGCATATCACAAGCGAAAACGATTTTTAAATGGAAAACACAAATCATAGCGGCGCGACTGAACTCCTGCAACGAAATTAAAATTGAAATATAAAAAAATTGTCATATTTCCAATTGCATGCACATCACCTTGTTATCGCAGAGCCCATTTACAAAGCGCTCCAAGTCTGATTCATTCCCCCAACCGCAGAGTTTCAAGGCTACATCACGTTGTTCGCTTCTACAAAAGTTCATTTTTTTAATCTAGAATAAAAAACGATAAACCTCTTTCCCCTTACCTATAGCATACCAAATTATTCGAGTTGATAAAGTCCGGCCATTGCAACACACGCGATTCAATACGTGAAGATGCCATCAATGCCTCCGATGTGTGTCCCAAATTTATGCCCAACACACTTTTAAGACCCGTCAAGCGTTCCTCTCTATACAGATTACCCAATGTCAACCACACACTTTTCAAATAGGGCGTCAATGGCAAACTATCAACATGCAAATCTGTTTTCAAGCCATAATCGCTTAATGCACGCTGATAGGTCTCCTCAACCAAGTCCTCTTTTGTTAAACTGTGGTCGAGTATTTCAAAGTTTAAGGCCGAATTGAGTGTTGATGAGCAGGTTATACTGGTGGAAGAATTACTTTGACTGCTATTTTGACGCGTAGGCGAATTGGCAATTGTCAATGGACGTTGTGGTAGTAAAGGCAATTTCTTATGATTGCTGTAGGTGGTGAGTAGAGAGAGTGGTAAGCGTATTTCCAAAATATTGCCTGTGTAGAATAATAATAAATAATTTATTTAATAATTATATAAACAGCTCAACGCATGTAATCAGATAAACCTTGTTCCGAGAGCAATAATGCACGCTCGTAATCGTTATTATGCCAGGAGAGCGACGTGAGTGTTGGTGGCTTATTTGTATTGTAGTATTTGGCTTGGAAAGGCTGCAATTGCCGTTTGACATGATATACTTCACGACTGCTCTCTGCATCAACGCTGCGTATATCGTAGAGTGTAATGAAAGGTGATTCACGTTGGAGTGATGTAAGTAAGCTTGTTCTGTAATTCAATAAAAAAATATTACTTTCTTTGCTCGATGCGAACTAGCTGCCTATTTCTCATACCTTGTTGGGCACCAACTGAGTTGTAAATGATTTTTACCCGATTGTATGGTTTTCAAAGGATGATCTAGCAAACGTAAATCCCATAACATAATAACAGAATCTAAATATGAGCAAAGATAATTGCCATTTGGCGCTACAGCAAGTCCATGCACCATTTTCGTTTGTATGGACTGGCAGGTGGTGTTGCCCTCTGTGATAGGAGATAAATTTCAAATTTTCTTCTTTTTTTTGATGGTTCAGACAATACTTACGTTTTAAATCAAACAGTTTGATCTGCTTTTGGCTCACACCGGCAATTAGCACTCGCCGATTTTTGTCCCAACACATTGACTGTGCAGATTCCGAATGTCCAAAGAAGCTAACTGCGCATAGCAAATAAAAAGAATTAAATATTAATGAAAATCTTTTATCTGAGCTATTCAAACCAAATAATAAACAGATAGTGTATTTCTTTTATAGAATGCTTCTACAACTTGCTCTTGTAATTGTTATGAGTATAAAAATCCTCCGCTATATTTACCTGCATCTTTGGGCACACCACGTTCGATGTCCCAAATAGCAATGCACGAGTCTGAACGATGACGATCATGACCTATAGCCAGTACATTCGGATCAAATTCATTCCAGGCTAGACACAGGCACATACGCTGTTGTCGTGGTGCTAAAATGTTTATGCGTTTATTTCATATACATAGTATAAATCTAAATTTATCTATTTATGCTCACTAAACTCCCAGCTATTATCAACTGTTTCATGAAAGTCACATATGCCAACTTTCCCATCACCCAAACCAACGGCGATAATTGGCCGACTTTTATGATAGGAAGGCTGCACACAACGCGCATATTGGTAACGTGTTTCCGTGGCCAGAAAATTGGCAGCAATATTTGGCAAAGCACCTTTAAAGTAAGAAAAAGTCAGTTTAGTGAATTAAATTATTGAAGAAAAATATTTGTTTATAATAGAAAATTGTAGCGCAGTGTGCTGTCACAGCTACTTGGCTAGTGCTGCCGACTTCCTACTTACTTCGCCGATTATCATCGTGTTGTGTGCGCTCATATAGTTTTATTTCTTGTCCCCATGTAACAAATTTATCTGGAAATTGTGGAAACCAACTTAATCCATGAATTGTGCCACTCATCATATCTTTTACGTGCGTACTTAACTTTTTAGTTGTTTACAAATTTTTCCTCTTATCAGCAAGTAGCAAAACAGCTGATATGTTGCCAGAGGGACTGCATAAATATGTGCAATAACGCTGCCATATGGTCTGTTCGTCAAGCAGGTAAGATTTCTAAGTGAAAATTAACAACATACAATTTAAGTTCCCATAAGATTTTATACTGAAAGAAAAATTATTAACTGGAAGTGTGTAAGAATTTAATCGCTTTCCAACCGATTTGAGAGATGGAGATTACGGAGCACTCTATTGTGGGAGCCAGTCTTTTCGGGCGGCTCGTTTTGTAGACTGTGTCTGCGAATTCGATAAGTTTTTACTTTTAAAGATGATGTTGCATCATTTTTGAATGCATTTTTTATGAAACTATCATGTTCATGGCAGGAAACGAACTATTGCAAGCTTTATTATACCACCATCGACTTTGGACTTGACCTCGTATTCAATCGGAAAGACATATTCGTTTACGTCGATCTCTTCTTATTCCATGGCTTCAGACAAACAAACCACTAATTCGACTTTTCTTCCAAGAGTCGACAAATTCCGTTTCTCCAGCACTTGCCTCAGCTTTTCTGTCTTAGGTTCTAATTTTTTACCATTTTTAGCTTATATTACACAGGAATTGTTTAACAATCTCATTTCTGAAACCCATGCTAACGATTTTCATAAATCTTAAGCCACATTGAGTTTTTTCCACAACAGGGTGTGCTTCACAGGCTGTGTAATAATTATTGTTTAGCAAATACTCTCACCATACACCATAAGCTATTACTCGTTAGGTGGCAGCACTTGAACTAGTTGTCATTGACGGAAGTAGCGGAAATTTCCAGATTTGTTAATCCCGCTTGGTGGTTATAATTTCTTATATAAAAAAACTTGCAAATATTATTGAAAATCCAATGGAATTTACTATAAATAAGATGTCGACCCCCAATGATTTTTCAAATGATCTGTTATTCTGTGTTAGTGTATTAAAGCCAAACATAATTTCAATTAATTCGGCAGTTGTAGCCGGGCAAGCTATGATGCCTGTTGAAAGTATAGAGATTCAGAGTACAAATCTCTTTCTAATCAACATGTGACATGTATTTTTCTAAACACCATCGTCTCTCGATAGGAGATATCAATGCTTCTAAGTATGTTTCCGGCAGGCAAGTATAATTCCTCAGACATTCGGGGCAAAAAAAGTCATCAAAGAAATCGGAGGAAAAATTGAGTGAAACTCGTCTGGACGACAAAACATTGTCAATTATATACATATGCATATAATTGGCGCTTTATAACCGTTGAAGTGTTCTTTGAACGGTTCATAATTGAAATTAAACCGTCAGATAAAGTGCCATGTATGAAGGAAGCATTTACATATTTTTAAAACAATCACGCTTAAGATAACAAATTCTGAAACAAGACTCTATGAAGCACTTCAAAAACATTATTTCTCTTTATTTGGTAAGTACCGATTTTATTTGTTATTGGGTATGTATGTATAAGATCTTGTATCTACTTTTTACGTACAATCAATGCATACCCTTCACGTGGTGCACACAAAGTGCCTGCTGTCATCTTTTATAAATATTTGTCGTTGGCCAAGCACAAATCACACAGATGTTAGATAATTTGAAATTTGTACATGGAAAAATGAGTATTTGTTATTTGTCAAATTCCATTATCTGCCAAAAACGATCGATGGTTTGTCAATTGTCCACATTTTAAAATATTAAAGTGCCAAAGAAAATTCATAGTCATTATTTATTAATATAATTTCTTTATTGGTTAATGAGCAGAGTGATATGAATGTGCTCAAGTGTTTTGGATAAGATTATTCTCAACTTTTTTAACATTATGATTTCCGTTCAAATGTTTTTGCACAAAAGTTTGCCAAAAATATTCTCTGTGCAAGCCGCTTTTAGGTATTTATCTTCGAATTCAATTAAATGCGCCTGCTTATTATTATTTTGGGAGATCAATGATGTTTATTTTATAAACATGATAATAGGCACACATCTGCGTTTTAAATTTATTGTTTACTATTTTTTATGTATGCAGTTCACAGTAGTCAAATTTTTTATAAATTTTTTTTAAATATTATGAAATAATATAACCATAAAATTTTTATTAAATATTTTCAGAAATACGTTTCACCATCGCTCAAAATGAAATCTTCAAAAGCTCTGATGTAGCCATATTGTATGGAGGCAACAGATCGCGAGCTCAATAAAACCCACCAAACTTAATTTACTCAGCTCGATCTATCTCTACGAAAGAATGCCTTAAATGCTGCAACTATCCATTTTACTTACCATCCGTCCATAACAGCCGACTGGAAGAGCGAGATACATACACGAGTTGTCAAGTCAACAAATTTCATAATTTATGTGATCGCAAAGTGACTAGTTCCGAATTTGGTTTTCATTTCTTCTGAAAAAGCCTTTACTGCCAACATTAAATCACCGTTGGTTTCTGCGGGACAACCGTCAGTAACGGTATGGGCAAGGGGTGACAACTTTTCATATACATGACACTCTCATAAGATAGGTTGCTATGGACGGAAGGTATGTAAGATGGGTAGTTGCAGGAAAAGACAAAATATCTCTCTCCCGGTACGAAAACTCCACTCAAAAAAGGTCAAACTTTGCAATACTGCGGAAAAGAGTGTGGATAAATCAATAATGCAAGACGAAAAGCACCGACTCAAATTATTCAATCATTCCAAGTCCAAGAGTTGTGGAATACTGTCTCACCTGCTACGGTATTAAAGGACATCGTAAAAGCCCCAACTCTTGATAAAGGCTCTAGGCTCTACATGCTTGCATTCTAGACATTCTAGACCACTGCAACTGATGAGCCATTGAGAAAAACATGTGCTTTTTATACAAAATTGAAGATCTAATGGAACTGTTGGGACTATCAAACGATCCAGGAATACTAGAGAGTTTATACTTTGTCATGAAAAAATTGGCAAACAAATATACACTTCGGTTGGGAGCATTGCAATTTACGTATATGGTTCGAGACTTTCCAGTAGATTGGGAGGAGGCCTTTTCTCACGTACTGGACTGTAGTAGATCTCTGCAGGAGATAGCTTAACATTATAGATCGTAACTCGTTTGGAACTCTGGCTACAGGTGTAAACGTAGATAGGAAAGATTTTCCTCTTTTATACAGAAATTTTCCCAGAAAACCCGCGCTATGGTGGGAAGAAAACATGACTTGCTGCATGCCGATGTAACTTTGGCTGAAATGGAAGCGGGGAAGGTGATTGACTTATAATCGCTGAAAAATGGGACACATTCAATGGCAATTGGGGTTCTGATGGAACTTAGCCTCATAAGATGGCACACGTTGGTAGAATGACGAGGAGTAAGAGCCGATTTCCCTGAAACAAACTTCGGCTATTTGTGATCGCAGTTATGTATAGTTTTTGCATTCTTTTTTTTTGATTCTTAAAGGAGTCGAAGTGAGTGGGAAAGAAGCTATAGATTCTAGGGACATTTTGTGGTATCTTCTTCCTTACTGGCATAGATTCCGCTTACGCGATTAAAGCTCAGTTAAAAACAGTGCAACATTTCTTCCATCTTTCCTCTATTTGGCGTCAATTGGAAATAAAAGTGCAGCCAGGTTTTTCTTCGCCTGATCTTTTCAACGGAGTGCAGATCATACTTTTAATCTGTTTTCAGCGCGATGGAGAAATGTTCTCTTCATCTGTATACTTTGAACATTATTCGCTAGAACCCCATTTGAAGCCTTTTGTTATTCGTCGAACATTACCCCCAGGTTAATCACGCATCTCAGTCTATCTTTTTTTTTCTTGTATGCACATGAGTCTCGCTTTCAACTTCATTTCTCGGTATCTATCGCACCTCTCACTTGTAGCGCTCGACCGCAAGGTTGAGCAGTCTCTTTTCTCCCTACTGCCTCATCGTACAGCTGTGCTTTTGATCCTTCCAAATAACAATGGCCTAGTTTGTAGCTGTAAGTGGGGAGCTTCACATATCGTCGCACAGTGCCCTTATACCGAGTTACTAATAAGTGCTTTCAGGAGTGCAGCTCGAGTACCAAAATCATGGAATCACAATTAACCTCTTTTGTCGTAGATTTGTCCGGGCTTGTGATTTGGTAAATGCTTATAATTTTTTTTATTTAAATCTCTAGCTGACGCGTTCAAGTTTTCAGAAAATAAAATAAAAAATGACTTTAAAATGAATGAATTATTTAATTTAATTAAATTTTTTAATTTTAATGATTATTTAACCACATTAATAATTTATTAACTCCATGTAAGCTGTAAGGTAAGAAGCTCTTAAATAATACACACACGCATTATTTCCACATTATTGTATCAAAAGATTAGTCTTTAAGCTTAATTAAGACTAAATTAAAGCCTTAAAGTGTGGAAATAATACAAGTAAATACATAAGTTCATACTTATATACATACATATATATATATATGTATATATATTCATCAATAATCAATCGAAATTGTCTAGTCTTATAATATGCTTTTAGCAGTCTAAATCACACTCAGATCTATGCAAGCCATGCAGAAGGACACAAAGGACAACACATTTTCTCGCTTTGTAATTTACAGCTAAATAATCTACAAACACATACATATACATATTGTACATTTGTAAATGGAAGCTACGGAATTCTTTCACCATATCAGTAAGGTCATTACATTCACCGCATCATCGCCATTCTCTTTGGCGAATATCTCCTTAACGTGCTATTGATTTCTAATTTAGCCCATAAATAGATACTAATGCCTTGGCATGTTGCTCGTATGTACACATGTACATATGTATGTGCATGCTTTTCTACAAGTGTATATTTATTCAAGCATTTTCTGCAGACATTGATTAAAATCTCCTTGGCTTATTTAGCTCAGTTTGTCAATCAGTTTTAGCTATTGGACCGTTAGAATTCTGTGTAATTTGTAAATGTATTTGGTTCGTTGGTTACACAGTCAAACTCTTGCTTAATTAGCACGAGGAATACATACATACATATATATACTATATAAATATTCACACA